AGATGTTTTGTAGGTGGGGCGCAAATTTTTGTAGAAAAATAAAATTGTTGATAAACAGAAAGATGAAACCTTTAACAAATTTATTTATTATTTCAAAATGTTCATTAACAAAGTGGCATAATTACAAATATGGAACTAAGGTATGAAAATACTGTCAATTTATTTGATGATTCAATTGTCAGGTAGTTTTTTCATTTGTATCTGTGTGTGTTGATAAAGTTCCCTTCTTTTGTGAATGTAAATTTTTAATACACAAGATTATGATGCGGATATATCAGCAGTAACAACCAGAATACAACAACAGATTAATTCAGCTGAAGATAATGTAAAATGTATTGTTATTTCAAACAACACTGACAACAAAATGAAAGGGAATAGAATATAAGACTTGAACAATGTCAGAAATGAGTAATTGATCTTTTCTTCCTTTCTTCATTTGTTAGATGCCACGTGTGATGCATGCTTGGGTGATCATATCACTTTTTGATTCATTATTAGCAGAAGAATTCATGCAGTAGGTTGCTATTATTTCTTCAGTAGACTGGCTTCCAACCAAGGCTGTAGGACACAGTTTGTCCAGCTATTTAACCTATAGCGGGGGGGGAGAAGATATGGATTCATATCTTCCCCAAGGGTATTAGCACAAGTGAATGTAACAAATTTGACTGAATTACAAACCCAGGTCTCGGATTTCTCATTTAAACCCTTTATCTGTCACACTAACCGCACATTGTATTTGGTAAAGTGTGAAAATGCATCAAATTTTTAGCAAAGAAATCTTAGCCTGCTTCTCACTGACAAAAATACAAAAGTCATTGTCATATCAGTAATAGCACTGAACAAATCCAATATCGGTAATAGCCCTGAGCAAATCCAAACCCTGCTTGTAAAATCCAATAAAAAAGTTGACCATTCAGCATTAGTGTTTACATGTAAAAAAGAAAAGAATCCAGTTTGCCCTTTCTTGATTTTCACAGGCCAGTCTCAATTTGTTTTACTTCTGTGTACCGTAAACCTACTTTTGCTGAGTTGTACACAAGCTGAAACTAGAAAAATTGAATTTGATTAAAACTGTAGTGCATGTGAAATAATAATAATAACACCCTTTACTTTCAAATTCAGGTGAGCTGAGGAAAAAGACAGAAATAAATTTGCAGGCCTATGTGAAATTTTCTTCAGACCAATGAAAAACTTGCCATCATAGAAATTAGCCATTGAGCCAAGAAGAAAGAAAATAAAGTAGCAAGCCTATGCAAAATTCTTTTTTATATAAAATAAGGAAAAAAATTAAATTAATGAGAGAAAAGTGTCTGAAGTTACATGAAGGGTTACATTTCTGTTCATCATGTCCAGCATTGAAGTTTTCTCCAGTGTAAAATTATTTGCCAATTATATTATTGGCTTCTAACCAAGCATGCGACACTTCAAAGAATTTTCTCTCAACAATTTAAGGCAGCTAAGTATTTCAAACTATCTCTCTTCATCTAATATTGTAACTATGCAACCATGTATCACTTTGGTGAACAATGAATTCTCTTACCTTTGTTTTAAACATTTTTTAATATTATTTTATGTCAGATAATTTAATCTGTTGTATGAACATTTCCTCTTCATGACAATATGTGACTTTAAAATTTCAGATTTATTTTCTTAAAACAAGCTACTATATATATATATATATATATATATATATATATATATATATATATATATATATATATGTATGTATGTATGTATGTATGTATAAAAAGCTACATATATATATATAATATATATGTTTTATATATATATATATATATATATATATATATATGAAAAAATGCTGCCTAAAAACACATATATATATATATATATATATATATATATATATATTATATATTATATATACACACAATATATATATATATATATATATATATATATTATATATATTTAGGCAGCATTTTTCATTCATACATGTTTCATTGAATAATATAGACAAGTATTTTGTCTATTTATTTTATGTAAATTCTTTTCATAATGTCTGTTAAGCTTAATAACATTATCATTAAACAAAGAAAGAAAATCACAATATTGATACATATTTTTTTTTAATCCAATCTAAGCTTGCGGCTTACATAAGTCATTATCAAAGATGACAATTGATCTGATTTCTCTGGTCAGATGTGTCAGAGGCTGAAATTCATTGGAGGCTTTTAACACAATACGGTGACAGTGCACTACCGTGTACAAGTATGTATGAGTGGATCAAGAAGTTTAAAAGTGACTGGACAAGTGTGTTGAACAAAGAAGAAGCAGGACACCTGTCAACCTCCACCACTGACAAGATACAGCATATTCAAGAGATGTTAATGGTGAATTAGCGAGTTATCATTGATGAGGTAAGATGTTCTCTGCAGATTGGGATTGTAGTGATTCCAAACGTCGAGTGACCAAATTGTGGTGGAAAGTTGCTAATTAATTATTTTGTCAGGTATAAATTTTGAGAAAATAATGGCTGTGTGAAGTAATTAGCTATTTCGGCTCACATTTAACTTTTACATTCAACAACATTGATAAAGCATAAATATGACAAACAACAAATTTCTTTTGTAACAACAATAAGAAAATTTTATATAACATGAAATATACAAGCAATACATGTAGGTTGAGTTTTGTGTGAATGAGAGATTTTGTTGGTGGATTTTAATTTTGATATATAAACTCTTATAGTGATAAGTGTTAAGTGAAATTGAGTTCACTGAGAGAAATATTTGTTTTATGTAAGTGTTTGTAACTTTTGTAGAATTTGTGAATAAATAAACTTGTTTGTATTGGTGCTGTAAGAATTGTTGGCTAGGGTCACCGTGAATATAATCAAGAAGGAAAGCTGTGCTCTTGTAAAACAACACCCCACATGAATCATGTACAACATACACAAGAGAAAAATAATCAAGCTCAGTGAACATTAATAAAATATTGTATTAACAATGATATACAAAAATCAACAATAGAATAAAGAAAGTTGCTTCCCTTTTTCCGTAATAAAAAGGGTAAGTTTAGCTAATTAATGTTGAGTACAATGTTGAATGTTATTTAACTACAAAGTTCAATTGAAGTCTTAGCTAAATAAAGAATAATTCCACAGTGTGTTACCAGTGTAGAAAGATGTAATGTTCATGAGTGATATCAATAGGAATTGGTATGATTACTCGAATGAGTAATAATTAAGAATTAAAATGTCACAAGAAATATGCGCTGTGCTGTATTTTCCAAGAATTGAACTGCTACTGGCTGTTGGCTAACAGCGAGAGGGTTTTTATAGTTACGCATAGGCTCCAGTGAGCATGGCGCCAAAAATATAGAAAGATACTAAAATACGCGATTGCTCAGGAAATGGACCAATCCGTGATTTTAGAGAAAAAGTCAAATGACGTGCGATGGCAAAATTGTCATATAATAAGTATTATATATTTATGAACCAATGACATTAAAGAAAATGGAGGTGTGGCACATGTAAGTGATCACCACATGTTTAAATCGAATTTTAAACAGTTTGTAAGACAATTTCAGAAGTGTAATTTGTGGTCTAACGGTTTAGTGACAAAAGTTGTCTGCCTTTGACTATATACTTTTGTTTGTCAAAGATTGAATAAAATAGTTTACGAAAATGCTGGAAGGAAGTTTATTCTGTAGTTAAGAACTAAACTTAGTGAATAATAAATTCCAGTGTAAGAAATGTTCTGTGGATTCTGTTGAAGATAAATTCTGTGATTGAGAAATTTCAATATGTGATAAATAAATCCAGAAATAGTAAGTGAGTGAATTGGATGGAGTCGTATTAAATTAGCTTGACTTGAATTATATTGAAGTTTGTTTTGTGTTGAAGTAATTCTAACTTTATAATTTCAAAGAAACAAGTGTCATAGAGTAGTTTGGCATTTGTTAATCATGTGAAAAACTCACTAAAGAAAATGTGTTTGTGCACTCTATTTATTTATTATTCAATCATGTGACTGGCTCACGAACACATTTAAAGATCTTGGGGGTAACCTGAGTCTAAGCATTATTGTGTAGGCATTGTTGCAACTTTTGATATATATTGATCAATCAATGATGAATAATGTAAGATTTAAGCTTGAAGCTTGGATTGCATTTAGGTTGTACAAAATTTGTTGTTAGCATATGTAAATATACAGTAAATGTACTTGAATATTTGTTATCCAATGAAAATCATTAAATCAGAATAATATGATAATTAGTTAATGGATTTTTGGTGTATAGAGGTTAAACTCTATAGGATTACTGCTCTTTGTTCCTCCTTGGTGCACACTGATAGCGGAGCAGCCATGTTTACACTGTAACAGCAGCAAGAAAATTGGTGCGGTCAAGCTCAAATTTTGATCACATAACCAAAATAGTACCGACTATAAGCACACATGAGCAGAAGGCATTGTGATAAACTTGAAGATATGTTATTGTGAAAGTGTGTATAATTTTTGACTTACCCTCGTATATAAGTGAGAGAAAGAAAGATGACAATTTGATACCACACTTAAAGACAAGGCTAAATTGGGAGAAATGATAAGAAGAATATTGTGTGGCATCAATCTGCTAAGTTGAGTAATAATACTGCTTGCATTGAAAAATCAGAATTTGATCCATTCTCTGGCTTTTATCTTGGTTTAAGCATCAACTACAGATAACTAATGATAAATGTTGTAAGAATTTGTACTTCATTGAAATGGACAAATGGAAATAAATTCAAAATCAGTTTTGTATTCATTTGTATTTTTTTAAGAGGATAAAGTGATTATTTTCGTGTATGTGTGTATCTTTTTTGCCAAATAATTTTTTAATGAAAATTGTCACGACTGATAAACTAAGGGAAGTAACTCCAAATTCTTTAGAACATAAGAACAATAACTCGTATAATATCATCGCGCGAAAGTTCGACCTTTCTATTTTTGTTTAAAATCTGACCAGAAAAAGATCTTTTTTAGTTTTGCTGACATTTCAGAATGATTGATAACCAGAAGAATTATACCTACAGTGTCCGCTGTAAAGACGTTGCTCGAGTGGTGGAATTTTCGCCTTATGAACTGTCCAGCAAATTGTTGGCTGTCGGCACGAGTACACAAATTATTATCGCATCATGCCGTTTCCCTGTAAGTTCACGAAACAAATTAAATTAAATCTTCTTAATTATTGATCTTTAGCCAATAATTAATATTTTTCATGCTTATTATTAACAATAAAATTTTAAACGTCTGTTTTACTGATATTTGAAGTGAACTTCTCATGAAAAAAATGACTTTTTCAGTTTAACTTTTAAAAAAATGTTGTTAGTCACATTTATTGGGTTTTTTAGTAATGTGAAAAAAAATATTTTAAATTCTTAAAAAAAGTATAATGTAGGTTTGTCAGTTTACTTGATAAATATTGAATTTAATTTACAAATTTATAATTGTAAAGTAACTGTTGTAACTTAAAAGTCTCTAGTTTTATTTATAAACTTTACGCTCTCTTAAAAACTTTATTCATTTTTAGCGTAAATTATTATAAATTCTTTTATTTTAATTAATAAATCTATGATTAATTTTAATTATTATAATTTTAATTGTGTGTGCAAAATTTCTAGGTCTTTTTTTTTCCTTACAAATCTAGAGATTGAATAATAATAATGGTTTCGGTTTTATTTTATTTTTAATTAAAAAAAAAATGAAAACTTTTTTTTGCATGTGAAATCCCACGACTTGCATTACAATTGAAAAAAAAGAAAGACTGAAAAAGTAAATATTTATTTGTACTTGAACGGAATTTGACACAAGGCTGAGTTTAAATGGGAGCACAAGCGTATAAAGACGAGGGAGAGAAATTGCTGAAGGCTCTACTTTAGCCTAGGACTTCCTCTTTTGGATACGTTTCAGGTGCGAGATAATGATTCTCGTCACCCGCACCCTACCTCAGGGAAGAGGAGTATTATTACCTGATCAAATTTTTCTCCAGGCCTGGGCAAATTGAAGAAGAAAAGAAAGAATAATTCAAAGTTCCATATTTTATTTATTTTTTTTAAATGTCATAGTTCTCCACAGACACATTTTTCTTTATTATCTGTGAAGTTGTTTCAGTTTCATGTTACCTTATTCACGATTTTGAATTCAGAGAGTTGTCCTTTTCTTAGACTGATTGCTGGTCTACCCGATATGTGATGAGTTTGTGGAATCTTCCATATTAACCTTCCACCCCTTTCGGAAAAATGTTTCCTTCTATAAAACGAAGCTTTAACCAATCAACATTTCATTTCAGTAAAATTCAATCTTCTATTGGTTAAAAACTGTAGCAAAGTCACAACAGATCCTTTTCCCGCCTAAGGTCCCTGGAGCTGAATTTTAAACATCCAGCTCTATATAAACAAACACATGACTCAATTCAAGTCAGTCAGTCATTAAAGTGTATTTACTTGACCCCCCACTGAGTCAGGTTGTGACACAAGGTCAGTTTTTAACGTGAGGACCCGAATGTTTTCACTCAGGCTGCTGGTCCAAGCTGGTCTTAGCTGGTCATAGCTTGTCCAAGCTGGTCAGAGCTGGTCTAAGCTAGTCATCCATACAAACTCTACACTGTTCAATTTACTGACTCGCAACCACCTAAAGTTTCTCAACAAACTCAACTCAAATAACCATTGTCCGCATGGATATTCATCACCTACAATTGACTTTAAGAGTGAGCACTTACACTACGTCAAAGAAAGTGTACATTCATCAATTTAGCCTATCAGTTAAAGGCAAACAACTCTTAGCAACTTTAATTCTGACTCATAAATAACACGCACACACATACTAACAGTTGAACAATACATTTTGATATTTTACTACGCAGAAACAAAAATTATTTTAATTTTAATAACAAGCCAAAAGCATCAGCATTTACTTATCACAATTCTGCACGAACATTCTTCCCAACATTATCTCAATTACCAAACCAACAAAAATTCTCTTTATCTTTGCATGTGTATTTATTATATATAAAAATCTCTTTATTGTTGATCTCTAATCACGTTGTTCAGTCATTCCTTGCTATGCAATTGTCCTTATGTTCTTTGTGTAATCTATTTGTTGTGGGATAATCCAAATTGCACACACTCATAACTTTCATCCTATAACAATTTACCTTCTGATACACCTCACCCAGCATACGACCCACAACAGGTTCATGCTTTGCCACTACTTAAGTAAACTGATCCAATTGTAAAAATAGGTATTTAAAAGAAAAAAAAAATTGTAGATTAGCATTCTTTTAGACTTTCCTTAAGTTTTGACACTCATCAAAATTGAAAAATATTGATTTGTTATCCTTTCAGAAGAAGGGTTTGGTATTTGAAGTTTGGTATATTATAGGGTTGTGTGTGTTGTTATCACCTACTCCTATTCACCCTATACCTCCTTATTCACCTCCCAATTGGCATGATTTCCACACAAAAACTATTGCACTATGCACAACACTCTCATTGGCTAATGCCAACCAATGAAACATCTTCCCACTAAAATCCAAATCTCTGTCTGGTATAAAAACCTTGACTCCAGACAGCCCAGGGGTGTGAGGAGACACTCAAAGAAGGCATTTTACAAGCCACACAACTGCTTGAGTTTCTTTTTTTTCTAGTTCAGAAATAAGTTTGGGCAAGTCATGATAAGCTTAGTTATAATGGTCGAGCTCAAATTAGACTTATGTTGGAATGACCAAAGAAAAGGTTGATTTATTTCACAGGTGGAGGTTTTGGAAGACACATGCAAATGCTATGTGTTGGAAAGTGGAAAAAGAGAGTTCTGTTCTTAGTGGACCGGAGAAAGAAACGTGCAACAGCAGAGACGTTCTTTTTCTATGTGCTGCTTATATCCAGGGGCAAGAGGGATAAAGAAGAAAGAGGAAGGGGTTGTTTGTTTGTTTTTTTTTTTCTATAGACTTAAAGAGCACCACCTAATGGGCGTTTGATGAAGCCAAGTAGGGTAATAAAGTTTTTGGTTTCTTTATTACTAGCATCATAGGGAAATCTTTTTCTTTTTTTCTATTATTCATTTTTATCTTATCTATTATTTTGTTTCATTTTCCCATGAGGTGTCCTCTTCATAATTTCATTATAGTCTAAAATTGATCTCTGACTTTAATAGTTATCAGAAATTAGCTTTTTGTTTACAAATGTCAAGTTTGAAATGTGTCAATGCCATATCTGTATACAAAAACAGCCTTTTTTTATTTTATAAAAAGATTTCTTTTAAATAAAGGCAAAATATATATATATATATATATATATATATATATATATATATATATATAAAATTATTGGTATTCTGTATGGAATTTCCAAGAGGATATAGATCCATTGAGAGCTCTGTCAAAAGGCAGAGCAAAAATTATATAATGGCAAACACTTAAAACACAATAGGTGATATTTTATTTCATTGAATCCAATAAAACATGGCTTCAAATCCTCAGACCTGTAAACCAAATAAAGATGGAAAAATTTACTCTAGGTTTAAAAATTAAGAATAGTGATTTCATATTGAGAGTAGGGAGAAAGAAAGATATTAAATTATTGTGTAGGAAGGGGGGAAAAAGAAAACTGTCATCTCAGTTGTATTAGAAATGTGATGACCTAAATTGACACCCAGCTTGTAGACAAAAATCATTACATGAAATTGGCAATTGAGAATACATTTGAAAAAAGATTTTAAGTGTAAATTCGAAAATCTGTCAGGATCCTTCTTCGGCTAAGATTTTGAAACATGAATTCAACTTAAAAAAAACTTAAAATTTATATTAAAAATAGTTGTTGGTTAAGAACATTCAAAAAATATTAAGAACTTAGCTAAAGATTTCAATTTAACCATAAAAAAAGATTTATTCAAAATAAAAAAAAAAAATAAAATAAAACGTATATATATATTAAAAAAATAAAATAACTATATATATTAGTTTGTAACTCTGGGTTTCATGCTTTTGTGATCATCAGACAAACTGGTTTATTTTTAAAAAGTGGATCTATTTATGCTTATTTGTGTTTGATTATTTGTGTATGAGGGAGGGGGAGCTCTATCACAGTTATTGAGCACTTTCCACTAAGTACCATATATATATATATATATATATATATATATAATTTCTCAGAGTTAACCTGTACAAAAAGATAATATTTATAAATATAAAAGACAATAGGAAAATTGTAATAGTTGCTGACGCGTTTTGTCTGATGATAATAAAACTCATAAAAAAAAAAGAAAATATCTCACTCAGAAGAAAAAATCCCCGAGAGTGCCGCCATAGAATATTACCCAAATATTAATCTACATCTAGGCTTTTTCCCTATTTCACCTTTCTTAACAGAATTACTACTCTCCCAAACAAATGTACAGGACAGTATCAAGAAATCAAAAAATAAAAATGGTTGATGCTGTCAACACAGCAATGAAAATAATATCTCCACACATGACAGTAATTGACGTAATTTCAGTTAACAGTATGAAAATAGCATTCTCTAACTTCTTTCAGTTGCTAAGGACATTTTGTTTTGTTATTATTAGTTACTTTGTTTAATAAATTCATTTTGTTTTGCCTTGAAAAAGTCCACATCGGACGAAACGTGTTGGCAACTATTACAGTTTTCCTATTGTCTTTTACATTTATATATATATATATATATATATATATATAATGTTACTTCTACAAGACCCAGAATTTTTAAAATACTAATGATTGTAACAAACAGTTCATCAGCATTATAAGTACCTGAAGATTGTATTGAACATGAAACTCTAAGTCGTACTTTTGTTTGACATAAGGTAATGTGTATATTTATTAACATATACTTTATAGCTCTGTATTATCATAATGGACACTGTTTTGTTAACGCTAAAAATTAAATAAAATATTTATTTGCAAATTTATATATGCATGTGATTGCATGCATGTATGTTTGCTTGTATATATATATATTTATTTAATTGATATATGATGTGTTTTATTTTAAGAAAATGCTTTAAATTGTCCTCCTCTTTATTGCCATATTTGTTATATGCTCTGTCTTCAGCTGATATATATATATTATCTGAAGAAGAAGATATATATATATTATCTGAAGAAGGACAGAATGTACAATGTTACATTGATAAAATGTATTTATAATAATTTTTATATAAGTTCTTTAATTGATCTTCATTCATAATTGTTGTGACTAAGTAAATGGTCAAAGAAATAACAAAACAAGTGTTACATATATATCATATATTAAACAGTAAGTACAACAGAAGAGTATTACGCGACTAGTGAGTTTGTGTTGGTTAACCCACTGTTCAATCTATTTGATTGTTCCCCCAAAGTCTTCTTTCCTATTAATCTTATAGTTGGCAAAAGAGTCCAAAATAGACTCTTTAGAGAGAGGACACCACAACACTAATCCAACATTTTTTTCTTGTTCTTATATGCATCATATTTAGTAGATACAGCTTGGATTTTTGAGTCTTTAATAAAACAGATGTACCCTTTGGCAAGATTCAAGCCTGTATCCCTCCTTATAGCCAGATGTTTTTTTTGACTGACAGCTTGGATTTTTGAGTCTTTAATAAAATGGATGTACCCTTTGGCAAGATTCAAGCCTGTATCCCTCCTTATAGCCAGATGTTCTTTTCGATTGACAACCAAAAATGACTTCATAATGAAAATTCAGCCTTACCTTACCATGAAGCCAGTCAAAAAGTGTACTAACCGATACAGTGGTTACAAGAGAGATGAATTGGTTGAATCCAATGACTTTTAACCCAAAGAGTTGTGAGTTCAGTATCTGGTTACAGCAGAGGTGAACACAAACTTGGAGAGTTGAATTACTAAAGCGAGATAAATGATACCGGGACATTCGAAAGAGGCATGGCATGTGGAACTAGAACAATCTACCCTGGTGGACAAAATCAAGGGTTCAGTTTAAAATTCCAATCACCTGAAGAAAGCCAGAGTGTACAACAGAAACATTAAGAAATAGGCAATGAAGATGAGGACAACAGTTTGAATAATGTAAGTAGTGTAAATAAGAAATAATTTCTTATGTATTTGTTTTTTGTTATCCTCTTTAATTTCAGGAAGAGGACCCAGAACTGGAAGACATTGAATATGAAGAGTTGCAGATTTTTCAGCCAGGATGTAGCATCACTGCCCTCAGCTGGAGCCCAGAAACTTCCGTTTCTGTTATTTCCAGTTCTTTAAGGTAATTAAGGCTTTATAAATATGATTCTGTGTTTTTGGTAAATCTCCCTAATTAATGTGACTTTAGCTTTGTCTGACTCAGAAAAAGATTAATAAAATGAAAAAATTCTAGTTTAAAATGATTAAGTACATTAATGTGGTGCAGTGGCTTGCATGTTCGTCTGACAGAGAGCTATGTTGGCGTAGTTTGTCTGTTGGTGGGTCCAACCTATCTAGAAAGACCAATGGGTAGGAGCCAGACAAAAACTTAGTCACCGATAGGATCAAATCATAATGACAAAACCCCCGCAAAAAACCCAGGAGTGGATAGCAGCTCTTCAGTGATATAGATAGAAATGTGGAGCAACTTACTATCATCATTGTTGTGAAATTGAATCGACCCACAACAAAGAAAAAGGAAAGAATGGTTTTCAATTATAAAAATATAAAATATTTTTATTTTTGTGTTTTTACAAGTAATTTTTTTTTTTTTTGCATAGATGAATGCTAAAGTTTCTTGTTTGTTAAGATGAAAAGAAATGTGATTTTTTTTTTCATGTGAATGTGTGAGAAAAAGAGGCAAGGGAGAAAGTGAGGAGGAAGAGTGTCGAGTGTCACCTATCTGGTTGGGGAAGAGTGTCGAGTGTCACCTATCTGGTTGGGGAAGAGTGTCTGAAGCCATTTGCATCGTATGCTGCCATTCCTTAGTGTTTTTGTCCATCTAGAGACTTTATTTAAATATTCTTCATAGGGCTCACAAGCATGTTTTTCATTGTACGCGGGAACGCAACCCATTGGTTGAAAAATGTTAAATATTTATTTTCAACGGATTAATTTATTAACCAGAAGGATGCGTGGTTCTCCAACTAAGAAACCATTTCTTTGTCATTTGATGATTGACTGTCTTTGTATTTTTGTCTTTGCTCCACAATAATGATCTAGCCTTGGTCAAGACTTGAACTCTTTTCACAGATTCTGTTTTCTCTGCCATTAACCATTATGCGAATTCATTCCTCTGACCTAGTTTGAACAGCTCAACTGGCTTGTAACTTTTGATACCTCATTTTTGGTTAGAAATCCCAGCAGGCATCTGTAGGATTTGTCTATAAATATGGGTAGGGGGAGTTCTTACCAGTCAACAGAGATTTTCTGTTAAAATGTCAGGAGGGAGTCAAATACTAATACTGTTTTTAGTTTCTGTATTGTATAAAATCATTGGAGATTGGTATTTTTACCCCTCCCCACCAAAATTGTACATATATATTTTAAATTAAGAATGTCATTGAGCAAATGAGGTATTTTGCTGTATGTGGCACGTCTGCTAACAGTAAATGTGATATGTCCCCTGCAAAAGCCCAGGTAGGCCTTGTAACTTGTCAGTCCAGAAGTACCTCTACATATTGAGGTCTTCTGTTAGTATAAGTAGTCAGATTTTATCCATCACAAATTTGTTAACAGATAAACTTTGTAACAGATCATCCTCAGACAAATTAAAAAATGTCAGATAATAAAAAAACTATATGGAACTCTTTTCACTCAAAGCAAACCAAGAAGAAAAGAATCTCCAACAAACTACCCAGTTTAAGATAGGACTAGAGAAGATTGACCTTGTCCATCCCTCTATTTTGGCCTTGTGTCACATTTTGTATATCCTGGGCAAATAAATATTCATTCCTTTAAGACAGTAACCAATTTGGAAAAGTAATTCTCTTTTGTAAAATGTCTTCTTGTTTTTTTTTATTCCAGATTTGTAGCTGCAGGAATGGATCATAATCTGAGAATAGTAAATCTAAATTTGAAATCTGATCCAGATGTTGAAGTGAGTCCAAATTTTAATTACTTAACTAACCTAACAAGCTTGTGTAAATGGATGACAGGACAGAGAGTGGGTGGGATAGTAAAAAGACAAACATTGCTTAGAGCTACGAAGGATAGGAAGTTGTGGAGAGACATGATCCACCTAACAAGCTTGTATAAATGTATGGCAGAACAGTGAGTGGGATAGTAAAAAGACAAACATTGTTTAGAGCTACGAAGGATTTAGAGCTACGAAGGATAGGAAGTTGTGGAGAGACATGATCCACCTACCTAACAAGCTTGTATAAATGTATGGAAGAACAGGGAGTGGGTGGGATAGTAAAAAGACAAACATTGCTAAGAGTTACAAAGGATAGGAAGTGGTGGAGGGCTATGATCACCCACGTTATGAATGGACATGGCACATAGAAGAAAAATGTTTTCTGCTATAAAGAAAGTGCTTTTGTAATGTTTTGCAATGTACTGATAGCTGCTTTAAATATTACATGCTTTTAAAAACATTTGTAAATGATTGGTAAAACAGGGATTAAGAAAGATAGTGAAAAGACAATTTACTAAGAGCTACAAAGGATAGGAAGCTGTGGCAAGTCATGATTTCCCATGTCCTGAATAGACACGGCACATAAAAGAATCTATATATATGAAAAATTCTGTAACTTCTGTTTGTCCATCTGTCACACCCTCTAAAATTGCCATACATTGACTGATTGAAACCAAATATTGGTTTTACTATGGTGCATAAAAACTGCAAAGTAGGTTTTTTGTTGAAGTATTTTTCCAAATAAATCAATTTTATTCAAATTTCATTGATTGGTTTGCGAAATAGATAGTTTCTAAATCCTGCAAAAAAAACTGTTAGTGATAACTTCAACAACATTGTGACGATTTCAATACATGTCCACATGTTACAATAAAATTCACTGACTTTCATCTGTCTGTCCATCACACCCCCTAAAGTAAGCATACATTAACTTATCAAAACCAAATTTTGGGGAGAAGTGCTAACATGTAAGGGGGTAGAAGGTATTATTAGGGTGTGTAGCTTAGAACAACTAATTTTCATTAATTATTTTGGAAAAATTAAAAATTTTATTATTAAATAGACAAAATATTCACATGATTTTAAAATCAATTTAATAAATAAAATAATAAATACTTATTTAATAAAAATACAATATTGTTTTTTTGCATATCTTCTCTTTTGAATATCTTGTATTTATATACAAGAATCCAGTTTCCAGTTCACTCTGCATTTGCGAGAACTATAAACAAATCACTAGTCCAAATGCTTCAAAAAGTTGGAATTTGGCTCCAGAAAGAAATATTTATGCATGACCAGTTGTATGTTGCATACTCAAGAGTAAGAAATCTGATGGATGAGAAATGAGTTCATTTCAATTATAAATGTACAGTACTTCATCAGCTGAACAAATCATTCCATGTTTTGTTTTGATTCTCATTTGCCTCAATGTGCACAAAAAATTCCAGTGGAAAGGATCGACCACTAGAAACTAGTTAATGCTGTTCGAGTTTGCTCAAAATGAAGAAAATGAATGATACAAAAATAGGCAAACTTAGACCTTCATGCCCACAAAAAAACAAAATATCAAAAGGAGGCTTTTTTCTTTGACACCACTATTATTTTAACTACCTTCACTCCTCAGCAATTTTTATTCTTTTAAAAAGCAATGATTATAATTGTAATAAAACGTAAACATATGATGAAATCGAATTTATACATTTTTTGATTTTAAAAATTTATAACAAAAATATTAAACACTATTTATTAGATTGTTTATTTACAAGAATAATTTTATATTTACAACATTCTAAAAACTAATACAATTAAAACTAATACAATATTTATCATTTATCAGTTTATAAAGAAATAAATATGAAAACAGTTTTTTATTCAAAATTTATAAACATTTACTAAATTATTAAAATATATGAACCAACTATAAGGAAATCCTTATTTACCATTTTATAAAGTTCAAATCAATTGTCATTTAGCCAATGCTTTGCCAACCATTCCAATAAATAATCTAATAAATAAATAGTGTTTATTATTTTCGTTGTCAATTCTCAAAAACAAAGAAAATGTATAAATTCCCTTTCATCATGTTTAAGTTTTATTAAAATTCTAATCCTCACTTTTTAAAACAATAAACATTGCTGAGGAGTGAAGCTAGTTAAAATAAGTGGTGTCAATGGAAAAAATGTAATTTTGACATTCCAGGTTTTTTTGTGGGCAAAAAGATTAAAGTTTACCCCAAAATACTCATAAAAATGAACAATAATGAGAAGGATTTATCTTAAAAGTTTATGTAAGTGACATTTTTTGGTGTAGAATTTTTTTTTTTTTTTGCTGTTGAAAATTTTAGTTAACTGAATACTACAGTTGTTCATAGGTGTTGTGACCATTAGAATTGGATCATACTTAGAATATGAGTGTGAAAGCAATTGAAAGACGACTTGCATTATTTACATTATTCAGACTGTTATCCTCATCTTCATTACCATATTCACAACATTTCAGCTATTGTATGCTCTGGTCTTCTTCAGTTGAATTGGAATTTTGAACCGAACCCTTTATTTTGTCCACTGGGGTAGATTGTTCTAGTTCCATGTGCCATGTGTATATGAATCCTTACAGATTCAAGTATAGACATAACGAATTTTTACCTCTAGATCTAAGTATATTAAAAAAAACAGATTTCACCATTAAATAACCCAATTAGTATAGTTTCTTTTGTTTTATGGCATATCAACCTCAATAGGTTAATGCCGACAAGATTTTTAATGCTGGTAATATTTTTTTTTGTCAAAACTGTATTGCTGATAATATTTAAAAAAAAAATGTATTGCGGGTAATATTTTTGCTTCAAAACTTCATTGCTGGTAATAATTTTTTACAAAAATCGTATTGCTGGTACTAAAATCTTTACACTTTCATAGTGTTTGACTCCAGTTTGGGGGGTTAACTATTTTCCTATAGATGGGACCCTAACAGATGCTACCACCCTGGGTCAGGGTGAATCTGGGAAGAACAGCTATTAAGAGGTGGTTCCATGTTCCTCAAAACTTACTTATCAGAGGCTCTGCTGTTGACTGTAGTTTATTGTCCTACTCAGGACGCCCCAATTAGTTAATTTTTCTTTTTATTGCAATCATTTCTTTATCAGTTTCTTTTCCCTTTTTTTACATTTGATCACTTTCTAATTTCAATAATTGTTCTTGACCTGTGACCTCTCATCTTCAGTTTCTCAAAGGTCACAAGAGTTTCATCAATGCTGTTGCTTATGAGCCTAATCTGGGTCAGCAAATTGCCAGTGTCGGAGATGACAACACCTGCCGAGTTTGGGAGAAAGATAAAGACAGTAGTGAGATTAAAGAAGCCATGTGTTTCTACCTCATGTCTCCAGGGGTCAGTGTTTGTTGGCATAATGAAGAACCCAAAAAGGTATTTTACATTTTAAGATATATTTAATAATTGTCTTTTTTCAGTTTGTTGCAGCTCTTTTCAAACAGTAGAAATTAGTCAAAGGTCACAAGGAAAGACAATTATATATATATATATATATATATATATATATATATATATATATATATATATAGGCTGCTGATTAATGCTAAGCTCTTCACTATAAATTGAGTTCTCTGGTAGCTGGTAATGCATATATATTGTATATAATGTGTTAAAAAATTCCTTTCTTCCTAGCGTGTGTTTGATGGCCTGGGGTTGAGAGTCTCTGACTGATGTCAAATCGGTCAGGTTTCGATCCTGGCTTGAAGCAATTGCATATCTAGCAACACTGATGAGCTGTGAAACAGTCTGTCTGTGGATGACACACACACACACACACACACACACACATATATATGTTCGTAGTTTTGTGGTTTTACCAACTCATCAGGCATGTTGAGTTGGTAAAACCATGAACCTTTAAGTTGCACTTTGAATGTAGGTTTATATATATTTATTAATATATACTTCTTAGATCTGTCTAACTACATTCAACACTGTTTTGTTTACACCTTAAATTAAGTAAATATTTATTTGCTTACCTGTCTATGCGCACTAACACACATATAATATCTAATATCTAATTATTTGGTTTATATCCACATTTATACATACATATATTTCTCACTTTAAATGTTATTTTCTTGAAAGTATGACATTTGGCTTTGCCTGACTGACTGCCCACTGTGGCCAAGTTGGTAAGGCATACTGGGGTAAACAGTAGCTCCCTCTGCCCTGAGGGATGCAGGTTCAATTCCTGCTGAAGAGTGCAAATTTTTCTTTAAGATTTCTTGAATATTCAGTCCGGGAGACATAAAAATAGATAAATGTACTGTTTAATAAATAAATGGAGCATCTACTCAAATACAAGTATTCACTAAAAATAATGTTTAAAGTGATAAAATCTGTTGTATTAATAAAAGAAAATCCATACTAATAACCTATACAAGGACTAACTCAAATTAATGATAAAAAAAAAACAAATGAAAACTACAGATAAAGGTTACTTTCTTCAGAGACAGTCATTCACTCCTGTAGTTCATTGCTACTAACAAGCAAGGATTTTTTTCCTGATGATGGCCATGCTGGCTGAAACTAGTTGAGGAACCTAATTTAAATAGGAAAACAAAAAAATATTAATATACCACCCAGTGTATCTGAAATTTTAATTTTGTAACATTTTTCTTCAAGACACGCATACATACATTCATATATATATACACACACACACACACATATATATATATATATATATATATATATATTGTAGTAATAAATTAATGAACACTACAATCTTTGTCTTGCAATAAACAATACCCTGATGATATGTAAGGGAAGTAACTTTATTAATATTGTAAAAATCTTAAAAAACATCTGTGAATATGAGAGGATTAAAATAAAAATAGACATATCTAAATTATTCAACCATACATACATACATGAATGAAGATATGTTGCCTATATATATATATATATATATATATAGAGAGAGAGAGAGAAAGAGATAGGGTGCAATAGTTAAATTGTTGCCATTTTATATTTTTCATTTCTTGCAAACTCAATTGCACAGTATAGTAGAGTCAGTTGGGCACTCTCTGCAAGAAAATAAGCACCATGACGAAATTCAGTTCATCAGAAATTTGGAAATTGCTGGAAACTCCAATATGAACATTTCAGTGTGTTAGGGTGTCAATCTAAGAACTGCAGATGATTTGAAAAGAATTGGATAAGTCTAATGATGATTACGAAGGTGCTTGGAGTGATGGTGACATTATATCTCCATTCATCTTCCCAGAACACGGAGGCCTACATCAAGTGCCTTGAGGCAGTAGTGATACCCTGGGTCAAGAGGGTGGCTGCTGGAAGACCCTATGTCTGGCAACAGGAATCTGCACCTTGCCACACAAGCAGGAGAACCTGGTCATGGCTGACAGATAATTTCTGCAATTGCTTCTTCCACTGCGAGGAAAGTTGGCTCTCTGTGCCGCGCCAGGAAATTTTTCTCCCCTGAATCGATACTTCAAATATACAAAACAACCATTCGCCCTTGCATAGAGTATTGCTGCCATATATGGGCTGGAGCACCTTCTGCTTACCTCGGAGTTCTTGACAAGATCCAGAGACTGATATGTAATCTAATTGGCCCTGATCTAGTGTCTCGTCTGCAGTCACTCTCTCACAGACGCGCAGTCGCCTCTCTCTGTCTTTTCTACAAATACTTCCATGGTAACTGCTCTGATGAGCTGCTTTCACTGGTTCCCAGACTCCATGAATTCAAGCACCCTATGAGGCTGGCATCCCGCTCCCACCCTTACACCGTAGAAACTTTCAAATGTAGCCGTCTCTTCTACTCCAATAGCTTCATACCTCGCACCTCTCGCCAGTGGAACACCCTCCCCAATTACTGTTTCCCTGAAAGCTATAATCTCCAACTATTCAAATGTAATGTCAATCGACATCTCCAGTTACCTTGATCTACCCACTATCCTACTCCTCATCCTTTCTCCTATCACTCCTATCTGCTCTCGCTCCAAATCTTCCACAACCCCCTGCATCCTAGTGGCTTCACGCCTTGCTTGGGGCGTAATGCTTAAAAAAAAAAAACCCACATCACTTCTTACATCTGGCCACATAACTCTCTAGACTGCACCCCACCTGATTATGTGTAGAGCACAGTTGAGCAAGAGAGCAATGAAACTCCTTGTAACACTGAAGATGAACCGAAGGCCAGGATTATGGCAGCATTCACCAACTTAAACAAGGAGGCTGTCCAGAATAGATGCAGGAGATTCCGATTTTGTCTTGTTGAATAAATTTAATATTTCAGGATATTTTTTATGTAATTTTGGTAAATATATCTATTAAAATAAGATGTCAGTGTTATTTTCATTTTTGCGTAATTTAGATGACAATTTATTCATCGCAGCATATATAAAGTGGACACTGAGGTCAACATTAAGTGACAACAGTCTGTTTCATGCTCGAATACAATCTTCAGGCCATGTGTGTTGTGTTTTGGCTCATCTATTTATATATGCTGGTCAATAGTGCACTATGGGTAGTAAGGTCTATTGTATTATCCTGATGATTAAGATGATACAATAGACAAGATAATGCAGTAGACCTTACTACCCATAATACACCATTGACCAGCATATATAAATAGATGAGCCAAAGCACAACACACATGGCCTGAAGATTGCATGAAACAGATTGTTGCTGCTTTGTGTTCACCTCAGTGTCCAATTTTATATTTATATACTTTTTATCTCTGATAGTGAGCACTTTTATCCATAAATAGCACATATGATGAAACTCTCTCTCTTTCTATATATATATATATTGGACTCTTCCGTCAATTTTGACGTATGAGGATCTGACAAATTAACCAATTGATTCAGTTATGAAATTTTGTGCGATAATCTTAAGTGGCACTTAAAACCCGCCAGTGATTTACAAAGGAGGCCACATATGGAGCACTAGTGAGGATTGTGAGGTGATATATATATATATATATATATATATATATATATATATATATATATATATATATGAACTGAAAAAATATGGATTAAACCCATAGAATAATGAAAATAGGGAAGACACTGATAAATTTTTACATGATGGGACCCATTGGTGAAAGTTTTATTTTAAATTATGTTTGTTTTCATTGGATGGGTAGATATCATGTTCATATTTTCTGGTGTTTATGGGTTTGAATTCTTGTGAGCATTTGTCTTTGTCTCGTAGCATCTGTGTGTATGTATAATTCCTGAAGACAGTAACAATAAAAAGGAAGTATATATGTGTATCAAACACCACAAAATATGAACATTTACTCGACCAATGTAAATGAATGATTGTGATAGCAGATTATAGATAAGAAAACCCACATTGTATTAGATTATTGATGAAGGGAACAAAAGTTTTATCATAACTTAGCTGGTTTCTAGACATACCATTAGTGCCAATCCTTATTGGATTTAATCCCCATTGAACATGTATGGGAGATATTGCAGATCTCACTACTTTCTCTTCAGCAATACCTAATGTAAACATACATCTAACCCTTGCCCAAGCTTCCCACTGACTGACCGATGATTACCCCACGTTATATTCTGGTTTTTGATCTTGTCGGAGTGCAATGAAATCTGGGGGAGGGCGTGATGCACCTTTCCAAAGAAACCCGATTAAAGACAAATGCTGAGTCAAGAAAAAAAATGTGAAACATTTTTTCCCATATGCCGATGTTTTATTTCGGGATTGACCTGCTCGTCCTGGTGGGTTGGTCGGTAGGGGATACTTCTGCTATGTCAGCTCTTCCCCTGACCAACTCCTCATCCTGACATGGTGGCTGGCAATACGGATGAGGAGCAAAGGAATTACTCGATGGACATGCCCATATCCAATCAAGGGCAGACCGGAGCTCCCCACTCAATCTCATGCATGATTGTTAATATAGACCAGCGTCCGGATATACCCTATTTCCAGATTTGCTGCCACTTGATCTCAAAAAATTCCTTATCTTGTGTTACACTTTGGTCAAAGTAGAAGACTGAATTCAAAAGGAACCATCTGCTGATTCTTCAAACAAAAATACTTGAGATCAAGATAAGACCATCACTTCCCTTTGTATGTGGGTGTCTATAGTATCACACAAATACAACTCCGTTATTGGCAGCCCTGGATAAATATTTGGTAAAGATGCTACCACCTCTTTGATTCTATGTCAAGTTGTATTGCCACTAATTTTTTTTTTTTTCCAGATCCTGGTTGCTCAAAAGAATGGTATTTTACGTTTCTTCAGTCTCCATAACCAACAACCAATCATGTCACTTGATTGTGGCCAATCCCCATTAATGTCTGCAGACTGGTGCCACATGAATTCTCTTGCCGTTGCAGCTGGAGCATCAACAGATTGGCTGCTTTTTGATTCATCTGTTTCAAGGTTGGCACCTGAAAACTGATTTTTAAGTCTTTGTTGTTGTACAGGAATTTTTTTTTTTTACAAGTTCTTTATATCACCTGGCAGGATTAATAAACAAATGCATAAAAAATATCATTTAGATTAAATCTATAGTGAGAGAAAATTCTGCTAGTTGGAGGAAAATGAAACAGTTAATCAAAATGATATTTTCATTCAAACCTGGTATATTCATTAGACAAATACAAAGCCTGGAAAACATATTAGGAAGATGACAAGCTTATATACTTATTTCAGGGGATCACAACCTTTTTTTGTGTCATCACCCACCTTCACAAAGAAAGATCTTCCACTACCTACCAGTATAGTAAATATTCAAAAGAATACTAAAATTGCTTGTTAAAAGTTTGTTACTGGTTTGTAAACTGACTTTATGATGTAGTAACAATAATAAACATTGCCAAGGAGTGAAGGTAGTTAAAATAATTGTGGTGTCAAGGGAAAAACTGTCCTTTTGATACTCTGTGTTTTTGCAGGCACAAAGGTCCAAGTTTGTTGTATTTTTTTAATTTTATTTTCTACTTTTCTTTACTCTTAGTATTTTGGTCTAATAATAAAAAAAAAACAATAAAAATCAAATAAAAGCAATATTAATCAAAAGGGAATAATTGACCAATGAGAATTTCCTTGTTCAAAATTCATCTAAAATTTTATTTTTACTATTTACATTTTCTCCTCCTAATCAGTTCACCACAAGCAAGGTGATAGTGCCACTAAGATACAAGGGGTTACTGAGAGTAAAAGAATGAAAAGACTTTAGTAAGGAACCGGAAACAAGGGATAAACCTCTACTTCTATTCAAAAGACCAGGGATGAGTGTGAAATGGATGATAGGCAAACCTATCTATGTTTGGAATATTATCATTTGTTACTATTATGTTTCAGCATCATTATTTATTTAAATAAAAGGTTCAGTTTAAAATACCCTGCAGGTTACAAGGATTGAAATACACTTGATAAATACTGGAGGACACAACAGCAATGAAGATAAGTCTAAAAGAAAATAGTATAAATAATGACAACTCCTCATCCTTGAAAAATTTTGTTTGCTACATTGTTTTTTTTCTTTACACTATTCAAAGAGAGCATCTTTTCCTCCTGCAAGGAGGCCATAGAATTAATTGTCTGAAACATTGTGTTGACAGATAAAAAAAAAGGTCGCAATGTTACTGATTTTTAAAGTTGTAGACCAGTTTTTTTTTTCTGTTTTCTAGTGCCCCTGCTGACAAGAAGCAAGCCCATACAGAAGGAATCCAACAAATTCGTTGGTGCAGATGTTCAGATAATCTCCTGGCCACAATTGGACACCCAGGCTGTCAGTTAAAGGTGTTCAGTGTCAAACAACAGCAGGTAATTTGAATTTTATTGTTTCAAAAAGATATACTTATCATAGAACTGGTATTAGATATTCACCCAAACCATTTTTTTTTACCATAGTTTGATTCTCACTAGGTGCCTCACACAAGTTGTTAACAGAGAAGGGAATTAATGGTTATTGATTAATTATTATTGAACTTCTGATTGATTTTTAAATTGTGATTATTAACAGAGAGCTCATACTTAACATGTGGCTATATAATAATTCTATTTTTGTTTTCAGCTTCTGATGTCACAGTCTTACCCTGTAGGATCTGGATTGTCATGGCACCTGAGACTCCCAATCCTGGTTGTGGCTGGTGACCAACGCCTGTATTTCTGGTCAGCAAGTTCAAGTTGAGCTTGGATAATTATTGAATAAATTTTTCTTGGTATTGATTGATGTTTTTACTTGTTTATAGGCTATAGATGATTATTTTTGTGATCTGGTAACAGATACAGGTGATATACCTCTTTGGATTTGCCTTGTATCAAATATCTAATTCTGACAATCTGTTACAGACTTTGTTGGATTCTGGAGTGAGGCAGTTGTAACATTAGCATAAACTGACAAGTTTGACTATTAAGGCCTTTCATATTGAATTTGCACGGAATTAGTAAACTATAAGGGAAAGTAAAAAATTATCCACTCTCTTATTATGTCATATGTTAAAGGATGAACATGGCAGAAGCCCAAACGTGAAGTTGAATACCTTGGAATAAGTCAAATCAAGCAGAACAAGTGGTAGCAGTTGTAGGTTGTGTCAGGAAGAGAAGTTGGCTATAGCAACATATAAGAACAGTCGTATGTTGTTAAATGGTAGAAAAGTCCAGGTGTAGACATATAAGTAAAAACATTCTTAGTCTGTACAACCCTGCATGAATAATAATTTTTTTGCTTACACCTCCACCCCTTCTCAGCTTCCAGAGCCATAACTGAATAATTGTTGCTCACCACCTAGAGAGACCTGACAGTCAAAACCAAGGTAGTGTGCAGTTATATATATATAGTATCCACAAAATAACTTTTGGATTGGTGGGAGATAATGTCAGATAAAAAATCAATTGATGACAAAGAAGAAAACCAAGTCTTACCTAGAAAAAGAATTTGCATTCTCTGTGCTGTTAAAAAAACCCCCAAAAAAACTGAAGATTGTCTACTTTATTAAAACCTTGAAATATGGTCTCTCTTTTTTCCACTTGCCTACTAGTCTCAACCAATCATAGCCATTTTTTACCTCAATAAAAGAATGCTACTTTGGATGATGCCAGCTTTGGCTGTACTTTATTGGTGAAGTAGGTAGCTGCATGTTGTGGATACAGATTTTTTACCCTCTTTTGATTTATGCCCCTGGTATTTTTGACTTAGGGACTTTTGAAATTGATTTATGGCCCCAGATTTTAGATCTGAATCTCCTGTTGTTATTTTACCACTTAGTAATTATTCTATGTTTCAGATACAAATATCAGCTTTCACAAAGATCTGAATGGAAGGATGTACATTCTTTAAAAGAGTACTTGAGCCTTGCTAGGTTGTGATGCTCTGTGTTTGAGCATTTTAAAGCATGCCAGATCAGATTCTGGTTTCTCCTACAAAGGGAGATGCAGAACACATTTTCTTTAAGTCTTTCAAATGTACAGGGCAGTAGATGTAATTCACTGTTTAAAAAAAAAAATACAGGGCTTCTACATCAACATGGGCATCCACAAAATAACACTTGGCATTGTCGGAAATAAAATACACACGTTACGAAAGTGTGCAGATATCACTCACTCTAATCTTGTATTTACTCACCCCCTCCAATTTTGGTAGGATAGTCAATTTCATATGGTGGGGGAGATGGTGCCTATATACATACATCTTGGCCATGAGCAAAACTTTGACCGTTCTCCTTTAATGTAGTGGAGTCGGGGTGACTATAGCTAATCTGACATTACTGGGACTTGTAAGGGGCCAGATAAATGATTCTGTTGAATTACTAAATTGAATCTTGTTCTGTCATTTTTTTTTTCATTCATTGTTTATACACGTTTTTCTTTGAAACATGGCTAGCAACAAACTTGAGCAATTTTTCTTTCTGTTTCTCTATCATAAACTCTAGATGAGCCAATGGTGTATAATTCACACCAGCACAGACATACCACAACCAACTTTTTTTTTTTTTTTTCAGTAAGTTTAACGTATCTGTTCTGACTTCACGCCATGAGATATACATTGGAAAATCATTTAATATAAACAGGCCTAAACAGCTTTGGGGAAGAAGGAATTAAAAAACAAAAAACAAATGAAACAAAATCCCCCATATCTTTGGCATCTAAGAGTGCATAAAGAATCTCATCGATTTTTGATGGATACTATGCTAGTAATTTTTATAATTGCTTAATTGTCACATTCAAGATTAATAAACTTAGATATCTACCATATTACAGAATATTTCTTTCAATAACAAGTACATTTTCATGTGCTGTGTTGTCTTATATTTGAGGTATCGCTGCTAATTTCTAAATAATACAAAGGGGCAGATAAAACTCAAAATGCATAAAATTTTTTTTTTTTTTATTACTGAAAATGATTTTATTTTTTGGTCCATACTAATTTAAACACACTCTCTAGTAATGCCAATGTTATCGGAACCAAGAAGGAATCATTATTTTGTCCCAATTTTTTTGTTGTTCTCTTTTCTGTTCATTGCTCATTTTTTTATAATCTTTTAATTCTGTCTCACTGTATGGTGCCTTCCCTTCAAATATATCAGGAAATTCAAATGTTTCATCTTTGTCCTGAAATAGAGAAAAAAAAAAAAATCAATTAATAGAACTTCAAAGTGAGTGAAACATTTTTTCTGTTACATATTTCAGTAAAAGATGTAAAGGTTTGTTACTGCTTAATTACTGGGCTACTGTAGGTAATCCAGGATTTCAGAAGAGAAACTCCTATCTTTTTGTGCTAAAGCCACAAAGAGATAGGAGTTTTTTGATGACAACTCATGACAAAAGATCTTGTCATTGAAACTTTGTAAACATGCTTCTGTGTCAATGATCCAATATTTCAAAATCCACAAAACCTTTTTTAAGTGAACTTCCCATGTCTATATAGTGGACTCTTCTGATGACAGTAAAAATATAATTTTGTTATTTTAAGCTTGATAAATGAAAAGGCTGTGACTTAAATTATTTTTTAGCTCACAGAAAAATGAACAGTTATTTTGACAAGATGGTTACACCTATATTTATATAAAGTGCTAACATTTTCACTGCTGCCTTGTTACCAAAAATTTTTCAAAGCAGATTCAAATTATTGATGTTTCTGATTTGCATAATAACTTCAGATGGACTATATATTTATGCTGGTTTGGAAATTACATTAAGCACAAGTTAGTTTATAACATAAACACTAGGAAATGATATTTTCACATCTTGAAAACTTATGTCTTTATTAAACTTACATTGCCCATTGTCAACATAAATACATCCACAGCAGAAGAAGTGTTAATGAAACTGGATTTTATTTATTTTTTGGGATTGAATTATCAAAGTTGATCTTAAGCAATTTTCTAGTAATTTAAAAAAAAATCTAAACCCTGTCAAATTTAGAAAAGATGAAAAGGTACATAACTCTCTGTTTTCATTTATTTGTGTTGGACTCAGTGGAAATCTTAGTAAGATTTGTTTTTATGTTGATTTTTATTTTACGGTCATTATGCTTAGTAAACAAAGGTCACAAAGGCTCATTACTTATACTTACCAAAACTACAAAAGCAAGTTTATGGTCATCTTCTCGAAAGGCAGTAAAAGGTTTTTCTGGGTGCTTTACTTCTTTACCTAAAAAATAAAAAAAACATGCTATTGCTTTAGCTTTGTATTCATGACACTATATATTTTATAAGTATACTAAATGTCAGTATTCACATGCATCTGTAATTATCCTGTAGCATATAGACTATTATTCTGATAGTTTATACTTTTATTTTAATCATTTCATCCCAAGTCAGGTAATAAGGCTGTTACTGCTAGAGAATATGAAAAATGAAATGCTATTAAGGAGTAAGAACAATAATTAAGAAAACAGAAGATAATGATTGACATTGCATTCAAACTTGGCAGGAAAGCAAGAAGTGTAAAGAGAAGAAACTGTTAGCATAGAACTTACAGTTACATCTAACCATTTCAACTGTAAAATGACGAGACTTTGTCACCAATCTAGTAGTATGCTTAAGTTCATAAAGTCTAGGTACCATCAAGGAAAGTTCCTGATAAAAAGTACAGGAAAGCTATGTTATGGTGGTGGGAAAGTGACTGAAGCCAAGATGCAAGGTCATTACTAATAACATTGCAGATACTTCTTTAGATTTTATCAAGAATCTCTAAATATATAGCTGGAGTGCTAGAGCAGATGTGGCAGTAATATTTAAAGCATTGACGAATGGTAGACTCATAAATATGTAAGATATATTCTGACAAGAAAAATTGTCTAGCTTGACAGTGAACCAACATTCCTAGCTGCAGACTTAGCAATTGATTCAATATAGGATTTTCTATATTGATATATATTATTATATATTGATTCAATATATAAATTTTCTATATAGGATCAGAGTGTAGTATCAGCCTGATGCTACTCAGCTGCAATAAGTTAACATTTTGACCAAAAAAATTTAGTCATTTGTATCAGCTCCAAGTGCTGGATGGAATAGCTATGATAGTGGGAATTTTTCAACTTATAAAATAAGTGAGCTAGTTTAAATAAAGTGAAAGTGTGAAGTAAAAATAATAGAGGTACCGCAGCAAATAAACACAGTACCAAAAGGGGAAAATTGAAGCAAATAATTTAACCATGAGGATGGCACTTGTATTTCATATACAAGTCATCTATTGACCAGTTCATGCTTTTCCTCACTCATTTGAACAGGAGTAGAGGTTTATCTCTTGCTTTCCTGTTCAGGATTGGGTTGCCAGTAACTTCTAAAGTTTATTTGAACCCTATACTTCTATTGTCTCTGCCTTAACTCTGAAATTTTATTTACTATTCAATTTAATTCAAGGAAAATTTAAAAACAAAGTGTTACCTTTTTGTCCAAAAGTTAAGGGGAGGGGACATAAGGTCAGAATTTTGGAAAAGAGATAACACTTTGTTTTTAAATTTCCTTAAAAATCGTTTAATCACCAGTTATGTACCATTGCCTGAAATACAATCATAGTATTGAAACATGAAAGCTTTTGTATAGTGATTTCAAAATGTTTTTATTATAGTCTCTTATAATAAAAATATAATAATTATATATGAATAAAAATTCACTTATCTGAACTCTGAGTTTTGGGGATACATTTAATGTCCAATCATCAGTAGATTTCTTAGTAAATCAAAGTTATTTATGTAATTTATGTAAAGATCATTTTTTTTTTCTTAAAAAAAATTTTTTTTTAAAATAATTTTCTTTTTGAAATAATTTTATAAATGATCACAAAGATTAATGTTTAAAATAAAATTCTGAATTATTCAGTTATACTTTAAACATTAAATATTAATAGAATAGTAAGTTTTCTTTTTCAGTTTTGGCATTTGATTAGATGTTAATACTAAATTTACAATAAGCAATTCAATTGTCTATACCAACTTTGGATGTGATTCATGTGTAGTAAAACACTACTGCTCAAATCTCAAGACTTGTACAAAAAATTAATTTAGTAAAATGTTTTCAAGTTATTTATAAAATAAATAAAAATATATATTTTTTTTAAACATTGTTGATTTTCACTTACATTTACTGCTGAATAATAAAATCATGGTTGATTCAACTTAAGTGTGATTATAGTTTATATTGTAAATAAAATATGTGAATATATACGTATTTCTAAAGAATGGATTTATTTTTTTAATCCAACATTCCTATTAGTTTGAATGTTATTTTTAGCAAAATACCTATATTTGAGTAGATGTTCTGTTTATTTTAAACTGTACTTTATTTTGTTTATTGGCCTACACACTTGAGAAAACTTATTAAAGATTATGTGCTCTCTGGCAGGATTTGAACCTGTATACCCATTTGCAGGAGAAACTGCTGTTTGGTTAGATGTGCTTTGACTATTTGGCTATGAAGAGCTTGATAATCAGGTATCCACTAAAAATAATGTTTGAAGTTTAATATATATATATATATTAGTCATCCATAGACAGACTGTTTCATCAGTGTGGCTGGACATTCGATTGCTTCAAGCCAGGATTGAAACCCAACTGATTTGGCATCAACTAGAGATTCTACCCACAAGCTATCATTGCATGGCAGAGCGTAAGGGAAATTTTAATGTTTTTACTATGCAAAGGATGTCAGTAGCTGAGAGAGAGATATATATATTTCAGTGAATTATTTAGACAAATTTTGTCTACTGATTTTCAATTGGATCCTTTCATACTCATGGATATGCATATAAGATTAATTCATGTTTGCATGACATTTAGTTAACAATCTGAATAGTCAACAAAGAATTGAAATCACCTGGTTTTGACTTCAAAAGTAAAGATTGAAATGAATAAAGGAATTTAGGAGATTATCTCCCCTTTTCTCTTAGTTTCGTAATAGCAATAGTAAACGAATTTTCCCATAAGTTTATTCAGAATAAGGGAAATAGAAAAGTAAGCATTATAACACAAAACACTTGTAAATGTTGAAAACATTATTACAATTTAAATTTGATCTCATCATACGATTATATATACAAGTTCTCAACCCATTTTTTTCTTTTAAATTTCTTGAATGAGCTGAGAATTTTCAGTCCCCTCCACACAAAAACAAAATATTAGCTGATTTTATTTTTTCCTTGAATGTAAAAGTAGAAACAAATCACTAATTATATGTATTTATTCATACTCTGACAAAAAAATGATGACATTATAGAATGCTTCTTTCATCTTTAAATGCAAGACATCCAATACCTTCAGAAATGTCTAGAATATCGGTTATATACAATTATTTTTTTAGATCAATGAATAAAAATAGGTTCAAGTGAATGAATCCTTTGGATCTTAAAGAAGACAATCCGTCATTAGATCATATCAAATGTTACTAACAAGTACCATAACCCATTAAGGCCGCAAGGGTACCACATGTACTGCAACCAAAACAACAATGGTATATCTTGAGCAAGATAGCCTGATGGTGTCCATCTCTGTTTGGATGCAGAGTTTACCTTCTCCTAGACTGGTTGACAACCAAAGCCACAGAACCCAGTCTGCCCTGCTATTTACCCATAGCTGGAAGGAGAAGAGAAGGATTCATATCTTTTCCTATGGTATTTGCATGTAAGTAAACATATCAACTTAAATTTAAACTCAGTTCTACAATTTCTCATTCCGAGCTGTCATCCTTACCCCACCATACATCCTAATGGCACTAAAGAATTACAAATAAAGAACTTTACCAAAAAAAAAAAATCATTTGAAGACTTTCAATAACTACAACAAAAATGTCCAAACACATGAAACTAGAAAGGAAAAAGAATAATGTAATCAAAATGTTAACTTTCCATATTACCTTAAACAAAAGGTTAGGAAGGAAACTCCTATCAATACTAGAAATGGCATTAACAGTCAACTTGAGAAGTCTATTTTCCTGAAAAACTGTTTTAAGAAAAAGATTTTATAAATTTCAACTAATAGTAATGCTAACTGATCAATGAATGTCAAATATTGCCTTTATGGAAACAGTTCATCTCACCATGACCATTAACTGAAGACTGATGTGTGATGCTATAGTTCTTTTAATTTGTGTATAGGATAGGAATTTTAAGATACATGTCTAAATAAATTGTGGAGGTATGGTGGGGTAGCTCAGATTGAGGAATCGGTGAGCTAAGTTCAAATTTCAGTCGAGTTTGTTACATCCACTTCTGTGCAAATGCCCTTGGAAAAGGTATGAATCCAACACTTCTCCTTCCCAACTTTGAGTAAATAGCACGACGGACTTGGTGGCAACTGGTCTAAGAGAATGATAACTCTGAATTCAAAACCTCCAAGTATATGTTAAATAGTCTCATCAACCTGCAGTTAGCCAAGTGTGATAAGTATGGCTACACCCCTGAAGGCATGGTCAATCAGGGAGGGGTTCCTTCACTAAGAGTGAGAAAGCTATGGATTTGGATTTAGTCTAAATAATTCTAAAAAACATAATCTTGAAATTAAAAAGGAAATAAAAGCTTTAAATTCCTACGTAAAACATATTAAGAGAAAAAAAATGAGAAAGACAAAATGGAAATGAAAGAAAGTCAAATCAAGATGGCAGTTTACCTTGAATGATTTGTGTGGCAACAGACAACACTGGGACTTTGTAGATTTTCTCCAGGTAATTTTTTATGTCAATTTTGCTCATTCTGGAAAGATAAAAAATATTCATAAAGATGATAAAATATTTTCATGTAAATTGCAAAGTCTATATTTTGCAATGAAAATATAAAAACATATCTACATGACTTCTTTTTATAAACAACTTAGGATTTTAACCAGTGCTTTGGTTGCTTAAGTTTTGCACGGAAATTAGTAGTCGACTTGCTTAAAGTTTTCTGCTTGGGTTTAATAAATAGAAAAGAAGACATTTCAATGTAACTAAACTAGTAGAATTAGTAGATTTCTTGAATACAGCATAAAATAATTTAGTAACTCTTTATTTAATTTGATTTTCTTTTCTTGAATTAGCTAAACGATACTAATGTCAAAAGTAGAGTTGTTTAAAAAAAGAAAATCATTTTTAGATAAGGAGGTATTTAAATGTCCCCTATCTCACTCTCTACAATTTGACCAAATATCAGATTTTTCTTTTGTAAAGCTTCTCGTCAGTTGGTTGGGCAGAAAACTTTTCAGCACTTCAGTGTGTGTGTGTGTGTGTGTGTGTGTGTGTGTATGTATATAATTTTATATGTGCAGTATTTATTGGAAAATGCTCAATATCAGTGACAGAGCTAACATATTCAGTTGTATGGATATGAGTTAGTGACCCTGGTTTTCACGCATCTGCGATCACCAGACAAACTGGTTTATTTTTTAAAAATTGAATCTATTTATGTTAGTTTGTGTTTGATTATGTTTGGTGGTGGGAGGACAGAATTTTCCTCTGTGTTCATTTGGGATGACACTCTCACATACACATACATACAGTTGTATGCATTTTAGTTCACACAAACACACCCACATAAACAATCCAATGGATGTGTATCTGCACCTAGCCCTGGAGTGTTTATATGGGTGTGTGTGTGTGTGTGAACTAAAATGCATACACCTGTATGTATGTGTGTGAAAATGTCATCTCAAACAGACACAGAGGAAAATTCCCACCACTCCCCAGCAAACATAATCAAACACAAACAAGCAATTGTTTTGTTGATTGCTCTTAAAATAAAATTACTTAGCTACTGTCTACCTTGAAAATGGTAACTACCTGAGCATTTAGATCACAGCTTGAAAATAAATAAATAAAAATAAGCAATGTTGATATTTTTAATAGTATATTTTTGTTGTTTTGAACCAAACATTTTGATTAGTGAATACTCTAATCATCTTCTGGTGTTTATGCTGTGTATAGTCTTTTTTTTTTTTTTTTTTTTCAATAGGTTTAAACTGTAAAAAAAAAATGAATGAGGACAGGATAAAACCATTAATTCTTACTGTTGTTTTTTGTGTCAATACCTGGATTTTCAATTTCAGTCTGTTTCAAGTAAAAGCAGTTCATAAAAACTTGTTTGTTCATTGAAAGAGTCACAAATGATTGATTCAAACAAATAAATAAACCAATTGAAAGCAGCAAATAGCAACAGAAATATTTAGAATTATTTACATCATTTACATGCAAACTATTTTATTTTATTTTTTTTTACAGTGAGGTCCACCCTGTGCAAGGCCTGGAGGTCACTTGAAGTAGAAGGTTACATTATGAGGCAGTTTTTTTATGGACAGGAGAGGAAGATAATGGTTAACCCCAGACTTGAACAGGTTAAGATTGTCGTAATCAGGGAAACATCCTCTTGGGAGCCTGTTGCATGGTGGTTTATGGGAAGAAGCTGTTTGAGTGGAACTTACTTCTATTGATAGTTTGCTACAATGGAAGTGGCATAGTGGGTCTTAGCTGTGAAGGTTAGGACTGGTTATTGCTATTTACATTTCAGCTGTTGTGCCCACCTGCCTTCATCAGGGTTTGTCAATCCAGGTAACCTTTAGGGAATTTTTAACCAAACCCTTTATCTAATCTCTGGGGTAGACTGTTCTCATTCCACTGGCTGTCTAGGGATATTTTGTCTAATTCTTATTGATTTAGCAACATCTGCTACACTTATTTCAGTTAGCAACACTTGATTCCCTACGAAATAGTTCAGATGTAAATAATGAGAATTCCTCATCCCAAAAATTTAGACAGAAATTATTGTCTAGAATTGAGAAAAGGCATCATATTCCATCAGGATCTTGCCAAACAGTGCATTTCTTTGGTGACTAGACAAATATTGTTATAGCTTCACTGGGACGTTCTCACTCGTTTGCTGTATTCAACAGATATTGTAACTTCAAATTATCATTTATTTTCGTCATTACAGAATATTCTTATGAGAAAAAAAAATTAAATTTCCTGGAGGACTGAAAAAGTTAGCTTGAGCAGTTCTTTGGTTAAAAAGATAAAAAGTTTGTGGAGGATGGAATTATGAATTTGTCTAAAAGATAGAAGATAAATATGTTGTTTAATAAATATCGAAAATAAATTTTAAAAATGTTTTATTTTTAGCTTTTTTTTAAAAAACAACAAAACAACCAAACAAGAAAAGAAAAAACAATTTATCATAACCAATAACTTCATCTTAAAATTTCAGATAATTCTTGATTCATTATTGAGAAAACAAAAATCACTTACTGTGGATGTACAATGAAGTGGACATGGTTAGAAGGAACTTTCCTTTTGGGATGAATTAACTTCATCCAAAATTGGGGCAGAAACACTCGAAGCTGTGGGTTACCCTTCCAATAAATAGGGTATTTGGGCACAAACCGTTTCCAAAGAGCACTGAAAATACAGATAAATGAAAAATTAATTTTTTAAATTTTTTATTTTCTATTAAAAAAAAAAATGGTAATAAATATTAATAAAAATTATGAAAATAAATCATTTTCAGATTAGTAAAAAACAAATTTTTATTATAAATGAGAACAATTTTTTGAAAAATGAAGCTTACTGCCATATCATGTTGAAACACCAGTTCCCATATGATCACTGAAGTTAAGCAATAGTCAGTATCGAGATGGGTGACCGCTTGTGAATACCAAGTGTTGTAAGATTGGATATGGGGCTAAGTGTAATGGATAATGGGTTGGAATTGTTAATTGGAGAGGTGAGTTCTAATTCCAGTTGGGTTCCTTATTCATCATCATCCCCTTGACTTTTTAAATTGTAGGGCGGATCCGAATGCAGAAGCCACATCAAATCTCTTCCACAACGGTCTATCAATGGCAGCCATCAGCAATTCTGATATAGTTATATCTGTGCATTGTTTGACACTGTCCAACCACTTTTTATGTTGATGTCCTCTCCTACGTTCACCTTCAACAGTGACTTGCATGATGGTCTTGCACAGGCTGTTGTGCCTTGTCATGTGTCCAAACCAAGCCATTTTTCTCTGTTTGACGGTGGCGAGAACAGGTTCCTGGTGGCCCACATAACTTTCAACCCTTTTCTGCACAAACTTATTGGTTTTATGTTCCCAATAGAAAATGCCAAGGAGTTTTCTCATGCATTTGTTCTCGAACACTAAGATCCTTCTCTGTGTTTCTGCCAACAGTGTCCACGTTTCACATCCATATTGGAAAACGTGGACATTTTCATTATTCACTTACGCACAAATACCCTTGAGAAAGATGACAGCGATTAACACACACCGTTGCATGTGATCTGTTTATTTATTCATTTAAAAATACAATAAATAATTATTCAGAAAAATATTATTCAGTATTGGGGAGAGAATTTCTGAGGTCCGGCACTCGGGTTATTTAGAGGCCTCCCCGGTCGGAAAAGGAGATGTTACACAAGACATTTTAAAGATTAAAGAACGAGTCTTACTTGGAAAACCTTGCGATCGAGTATGATTTGGCATGAGAATTTGACTTTGAGGAATTCATGTCGCATTTTGTTTCAATGAAAGTTCGAAAAATGCGCCTTTAAGCTGCTTTGGAACTGGTTTTAGTTTTCGTTTTTTTTTTTGTAATTTTAGACAAATTCATAATTCCATCCTCCACAAACATTTTATCTTTTTAATCAAAGAACTGCTTTTTTTTCTCTGCCTTTTGTAAAGAAGCCCCCACCTAAATTCCTATTTTCTTGAGGCCCTTCGGCTTTCGAGGCCCGACACATTTGTTCTCCCCATCTTGCCACCACTGTTTCCTTCGGGAAGAAAAATTGCCAATAGTTTAAAAATGATGAAAACGTTACTTTCAACGAAAAGTTAAAACATTTAAAAATAAATCATTGTAAATGTATGAGAAAGTGTGAGTAAACAGGTGAGGACGAAAGAAAACTTTTTTTTGTTTTGTTATTTTCCTCATGAAATGTAAGCATGACATTCACTTCAGAAAGCAAAACAAACTGCTTGCATGTGGCCCGCGGGTCGCAGCTTGCTCATAACAATTAGTCACATTTCTCATAATACTGATCTTTTCTTTTTTCGTTTTTTTTTTTTTAAAAACCTGACAATCAGGTGCAATATATTTTTGTTTTCATACCTGCTTCCAGCGAATACAACATTAATTTCTTAGGTAATTCTTTTATTTTTGAGAAACACTAAAATTTTAAAATAGAAGCGAGTGAACTGGTTCTAAAAGGGAGCTCGCTCTACAATGGACGTATAATGTAAAAAAAAGTAAACCCTTACTTTGTGTCCGACCTTTATGGCAATGGATATTCGATAATGTGAATAAATGTTACAGGGACACTTATTTATAGGCTACTTAACGGAATTCTAGGGAAACGTTTCAGACTTTTTTTACAAAGTCTGAAAATCATTAAATAATTGATTGTAAGTTGTTTTGTTATTGGTTTTTTTTTTTTTTTTGAGTTAAATTTTCATCGATTCTTTTTTAATCTTTTTCCGGCCGAAACGACTTCAAAAAAATATCGAGAATTCAAATAAATGATTTAACTAACTACATTCTCTTATTTAAAAATAAAGAAAATGAGCGAGTAAAACATTTAGAGCGGATTTAGTGTCTAGGGGAAAAATGTACAATACGGTGTTTGTTTTTTTAACTAAGTCTTTCTCTTCAGTTTTACTTTTAGAACTTGAACCTTTGTGTGACCTTGTAAATAAATTACTGATCGCTGAAATGGCTTTTAAAGAACTCAGCTCTTATGCTAGAACTCGATAAGATATTATAACAAAGCCTTTTCACACTGAACACGCAAAAACTAAAGAAAATAATTTTAAAAAAATAGAGAATTAACTGAAAAGCACATGTCCGTTCAGTTCTACTTACATTCGGTGCGCCATTTTGTTAATGTTCAGAATCTCACGAAGTTATCTCCCTTAGATCTTACATCCCCCCCAAGCTTGGGATGACATCATTGAAAATGCTTGTTTTCTACGCCAACCACATCATATCGGTAGTTATCTGAAAATTGGTTTTCTTTTTATCATTTCACTCCATGCAAAGTAGTAAAGCCACTAAGACACAAGGAGTTACTGGGTGTGAAAGAATAAGAAAAAAGTGAAACGTTATTAAGGAGCAAGAAGAGTAGGAAAATAATTGAGAAAGAAAACAGTAGATAATAATAGACATTGCATTTAAATTTTTGAAGATCAAAGTTGGCTGGAAAGCATGCAACCTGAAGAATGTTCAACAAGTGAGAAGTGCAAGAAAAGATACTGTTAGCATAGAACTTACTGTTGCATCTAGCCAATTCAACTGGGAATTGATGAGACCTTGTTGCCAATCTAGTACTGCACTTAAATTCATAAACTCTAGGTACCATAGCAGAGAGTTCATCCAAACAATTACCATGAAAGTATTTATAGAAAAGGCATGGTGAAGCTACAGTATGGTGGTGGGAAAGTGACCGAAGCTGAGGTGACAGGTCAGGAGCAATGATATTGCAGAATCTTCTTTGGATTTTCTCAAGAATATCTAAATATGTAGAAATAGCCTCAAACCAGATGTGGCAGCAGTATTTAAAACAAAGATGAATGGTAGACTTATAAATATGTAAGATAGATTCTCCAGCGAAAAATTGTTTAGCATTACAGTGAACTGACTTTCTTAGCAACAGACCTAAAAATTGATTCAATATAATCTTTCCACTCCATGTCAGTTAAGAATGTTAACCTGAGAAAATGCAACATATCACTCCCCTGGAGGTTAGCATCAGTCATATTTAAGGGAGGCAGAAAAGGGGGATCTCAGATGATTAATAGACAGAGCTTTTGTTTTGGAGGCATTAAAATTAACAAGCTGTTCCTTTCCCAAGTTAACAACAGAGGTATCCAATTATTATCCTATGGACTGTTAATCTAACTTTAAAAGTTCAAATAATAAATAAGTAAAACAAATGATATAAGCAAAAAGATTTAATTCCAGAAATATTATTCTATCAATTAAAATTGAATAAACAGGAATGATTTTGAATATTTTTATTTCACCATCAGCATTTTCTTTTTTTTTGTTCAAATAATTGTTCACCCAATACAAGGCTCAAGAGCCACCCAATGTAGAGGGTTACCAAATTAGGTTGTTATTTGAATGTAATAGGAAGCAGTAAAAAGTGCAGGTTATGAAGAGGTGTAAGAAGGATAACAGTTGACTCTAGATTTGAAGAGGTTACAATTGTAGTGATAGGGAAAGCATCCTCTCAGGTGTCTGCTTCACAAATTGGCTGTTCTTGGGAAGAAGCTGTCAGAATGGAAATTCCTCCTTACTAATGGAATACAAAGAGTATAGAGATAATTTATCCCAGTGTACATTGCATATTGGGTTTTAGCTGTGAAGGTCTGAACTAGGGAAACTAATGAATGTAGCTCATTAGTAATTTTACTTAAAAAAAAACAAAGATAATAGAAAAAAATCAAATTTTATTTCTTTAATTCTGATTAGTATCTTTTACATTTATTTTAGTTAATGGCTTCTTTGGCCTTGCAGGGGATCTGTTGGATTACTGTCCCTTGATGATAATCACAGGTGGCAAGATTTTGGAATTATCACCTACTGGCAGTAATTACAGGTGGTGTGAGATTTAAAAGACGCAATCTCTTTCTCGTTGACTTTTCATAGTGAAAAGACATATTCTTTTTGCTCCTGCAAAATGTGAGTAATCAACTACAGACACTTAAGGTTGCTTTGAACTTTACACATCTATGTCGTATTATTCCTTTGGATTTATATGAGTCCACCAAAATTGTTAGTGGTTCAAATGTACCAAGATCTTATAAAATCTTATCAACAGCATATATATTCCATAAGAGATCAACATCTTCTATGTACCATATCCCTTCAGGACATGGGTGATCATAACTCCCCACAACTTCCTTCCTGTCCTGGGTATGACGATAAACTGCATCTGCATCTTGGGTAAGACGATAAACTACGTCCAGCAGCAAGGCCTCTAATCCAGAGGTTTTGAGGAGCGCGGAACCACTTCTTAATTGCTGGTGTTCCCAGGTCCACCCTGACCCGGGGTGGTAGCACCTGTTAGGGTCCCAGCTATGGGTAAATATTTAACACCTAGACTATATCCGTGTCCTGGGTATGACGATAAACTACATCCGCATCCTGGTTATGATGATAAACTACATCCAACAGCAGGCCTCTGATAATACGTTTTTGAAAAAATAATGTTGCCAGCTGTACGTTTTTGAAAAAATATTACCAGCTATACGTTTTGGAAAAAATAATGTTACCAGCTATACATTTTTGAGGGAAAAAATATTAAAAGAAATAGATTTTTGACAAAACAAAAATATTACAAAAAAAATAGTCGTTGGCATTAAATGACCCATTGGGGTTGATGTGCCGTGAAACAAAACAAACCAAAGAAATCAACTTCATCATTCTAAGCAATTTTTGGCCCTTTACCATCTCTTCCAGTCTATGTTCTATCATCCATTTATTCAAGCTCATTAGGTAGATAATTCCTGGTTTCTTTGTGTTATGTGTCTCAGACATTTCATTTGTTTTTATTTTTGACTTTAAATATCAGTGTGGAGTTTAGCTGAAAATAAAAATTAGCAAGTCATGCTTATTTCCCTTGGTAAAAAATAGACATTATGTAGGCTCCTGCAGATCCAATCAGAAGTGTTCATGGGAGCATATAAAAAGGAGCAGCAATAACCTTTCTTTCTTTCTTTTCTTCCTTCAGACATTGGTCACGAGGCTCAGCTCTTTTCTTATCAGTTTGTCATTGTAGATAGTTTGTCATTGTAAATAGTTGGACATGTATTTCATCATCCTAAAAAAAACTCACACAATTGTACATTTCAGGTATGGCCATTTTATATACCAGCTACACATGTACATTTTTTCTTTATTATTTGTTTGATGTGTTTTCATGTATGTCACACAAAATGGTTCAGTCTTTAATGGTTGTATCTAGTTTTTTATGTTTTGCTTTTTCTCACTTTTTCTCCAAATATGTTTTTTATTACTACTGGAATTAATGGGAGCAGCCAACAATAACATCACTCACTATTCACCTGTGTTTTTGTTTGAATGTTGTTTAGGGATTTACCTTTAAAATTTTTATCTTAAAAAGGATAATATCTGCAATATAAGCAGCCTTGTAGTTTCTATTTTCTATGAAACTGTCTTGATTTAATAAAAACTGTCTTAAGAATTATTAAATCAAAACAGCCTTCTTTGTGTAAACAAAAGGAATAGTTGTTTGCTTGTAGTGATAGAGAAATAAATAAATAGAAATGAATAAAAAAGACAACCAAAATTTCACTATCTTTAAAAATAGATGGATAATAAAAATCACCAGGCAAACAAAGCCATATTTCAACTAACCAATCAAAAAGTTTTCACAACCAGCATCTAAAAAAAAGAAATAAACAAATAATAACAAGGAGACCAAAATTTCACCATTTCTAAAAGTATATAGTTTAACCAAACAATCAGAAAACTTTCATAACCTGGATATAAGGCTACAAGTCATTGAGAAGCAGAACACACTTTTCAAGGTGGATCTATAGATGTGCAGATAAATAGATGGAAAATCAACCAAAACCAGAATCAATGAATTAATTTTGTCTATTCTCCACTACTGTGGTCATTGTAACATACCCAGAGATGATATCTGACATTTGAATGACTAACTGGTGACTTTAGACAGCTAAGCTGTCTCACAACATATGAAAACATATATCTTACTTCACCCACATTGTTAAGGATGGGACAACTACATTTGGATACATACATATACATATATTTACTTCCTTCTGGACTGTCTTCTTCTGGAATGCACCAAGTTTTTTGCACATTAACTTTCACCTTATCTTTCTGTATTATTATATTGTGATATAAGTATTTCTTTTGTATTTATCAATACTCTGTATATTTTCTTTTCATTACACAAGGCCAATATACCCAAAATCAATTATACCAATATATGGTGGGACGGAAATTACTGTAAAGATAAACAACTCACCTATAAATGATAACCTCGAAACTACCATAGGATATCAATGTGATCTGTTTATAGCATAAGCTTACATGCATTAATATATTATATATTATTATATTTCTTATTTTAATTTCTCCATATTATTTTAGCAGTTAAGCACAGTATTTCAATTTCTGAATCAAAATCTAAGGATAGAAGAATGAAAACCAATCTTGAATTATCTCCCCTTCTGCAGTTTCGAAAAGCAACAAGGTTTTAATTTGTATTCACAAAGTGTTCACTATTATTCTTGATTGATTGATTCGTTTTCAATATATAAAATGATCCCTCACTTTGTGGCCACAATAGTTTCTATATATTTATATTCCAGAGAAATTATTGTTTATACATTATTTTTATAAATACAAATATTTAAGTAAATGCTATATTATAAACAGTATTAATAACATTTACTGGCCTGAATGTCCAAGAAATTTCAGAGAAAATATCTGTCCCCTGACAGGAATCGAACCTGTATCCTACATGGAACTGTCATATAGCCTGACATGCTATACCATTTAGCTACAGAGGAAGCATCTGATTAGCAAGATTGAATATAGTGAATGCTAACAAGTATAATTATATAATGAATGCTAACAAGCATTTTTATTTATTTAATTTAGTCATGGCCAATGCACCCCCCCCCCTGAATCTATGATATGAGGACCCCCACTCTACAGCTAAATTGTCATAGTATTCATATAAAATACAAATTTTATTGTAACCTAATTATATACAATAATGGATCATATGCGATATAGGTGAACAATTCAATTATAAAAACTGAAAATAAATACAATGTATCTAAATACAAACTAGAGACACATAATAAAAGATCAT